CATTCTTGACCATGACTTCCATGGCGTAGATAGCAGGGTTGGAGCCCACCGACGTTCCTTGAAGGCAGTTCTTCTTGAAGAGGCTGCGGTCAATCTTGAGTCCGTGGGCCATGAACCAATCCATGTAGCGGGTGAGGGCGCCGATTGGGAGGCCATAGGTGCCCGAAAAGCCGAGCTGGGCGAGGAATGCTTCGTGTTCTTCGTGGGAGTAGGACAGGGGCAGGTTGAGTTGCTTGGCGGCCGCGGTGACGGCTATGAGGACACAATCCATGTCGGCAGACGCGGCAATCTTCTTGGAATATTCCGGGCACGCTGACTTGAATTGTTCCAGCGAGACCAGCGGGATATGGTTATCCGGGAATTCCTCACGCAGTTCCGCATCGCGGGCAAGCTTGTTGTAGTACCGGCGGACGATGTTGAAGAGGCGTGGGTACTTCTTTATTTGAGGGTGGCCGCTGCGGATCCATTGTTCCGTGTCGTCCGAGAGAAGGATACGGAATTGGTACTTGGAGCGGCTGTCTTCCATTTCACAGTTGGCAGGGGTGTCGCGGCGTTCCAGAACGTTGACAATGTAAGGAGCACGGAGGTCGAAAAGGTCGGGAAGCGCTGGGGGGGCCACCACAGGAGGACGAGGTGGGACAGGGGCGTCAATGGGTGGGACAGGGGCGTCAATGGGTGGGGCGGGAGCATCCATTGGAGGGGCAGGGGCGTCGACTGGCGGGGCAGGAGCGTCAATTGGCGGGACAGGGGCGTCAACCGGTAGGCCCGGGGCATCGACAGACGGAGCTGGGTCGTCGGAAGGAACGAGGGTGGTGTCCATGGCATTGGCCACGGACGCAGCAGCACCGGAGGGGGTGATCGGAGTTGGGGGGTTTGGGGGCGTCGGGGTTTCGGGGTTGGCTACGGCCGGGGTTTCGGGGTTGGTGGGCGTCGACATGGTTCCAAGGCAAAGCAAATTGGACAATGACATCCAAAACAAAAGCTGTTGGCTTGCGGAACTGGTGGCTGTGAGGCGTTGACCATATTGCATTTTTATGATACCTGATTTCCCCCAGCCCTGGAGATGATTGTCCGGTAACCACAAGATTAATCGGAATATGTCTCCTAGGCCGGGATCGAACCCGGGACCACTTGCTTGCGAAGCGGAAGCTCCACCGTGTGAGCTATCTGACCTTATAGTATATAACCGATAAGTTTGGTACCATATATGTTGTGGTCGGGGGAATGGGTGGTCGTGGGCTCGGGGGGGTTGGGGGGGCGGCTGG